AATTTCCTAAATTATTTTTATTTTCCCAGAAGGTTCCAGAAGTTCCTTTTTTGATTTTCCAAATTAATAGAATTTTTGCCTGTGTAGTTTCTTGCGAAAATACTGATAAAAAACTGGGAGAAAAAGTAAAATTTCAGTGAACCGGAAAACTAAAGTTTTGGATCAACACCAATGATTCACGTCATCAGAGGAAGATGAAAATTTTCAAATTTTGAATCTTCTCACGAATTCTCATAAAAGAAAGAAATGAGTGCAATTATGACAAAACCAGGAACGAAATAATCAAAATCGGAATTTGCAAAAAAGTTTGAAAGAACTAATTTCTGGAAATCTGGAAATTTTCCAAAAAATTCAAGCAAATCCGAACAATCAAAAATTTCTAAAACTCTGAACTCTATTTTTGATACATTCATCATTTTTCCCAATTCTTGAGCTTCATTTTCGTCAAAAAACCAAGTTTCTAGCTTTTCTAGAACCCAAGATATAGCCATTTGAAGTTTAGACACTCCAGCCGTCTGCGTCTCTCTTGTCGCGCGCGAGAGACGCAGTGTGTCTCGTTGTCTGCGTCTCTCGCCTTCAAGACTTCAAATCGTTTTATCTCGACTTCTAGAAAAGCTAGAAAGTTGGTTCTTGGACAGAATTGGAGAGAAACTAAATAGACAAGAAAATTTTAATTCCGAAAATCAGAAAAGGGACTTCTAGAACTTTCTGGGAAAATAAAAATAATTTGGGAAATTACGGAAATTTCTCACGAAAAATCAAAAAGTTGAGTGCATTAATAGACGAATTGGGAAATTCGAAAATTCAAACTCCCCAAACGAGTGATTTCCCAATTGTGAGCGCATTCCATGGCGACTTTTTTGGGTCTGTAAATTTGAACTTTGGGAAAAAAAAATTTTTTTGAGTTTCAGAAAAATAGTAGGTCTTCAAAAATTCGAAAAAAGAAGTTTGGAATATTCCGGAACTTTTTGCAGTTAAAAAGTTTGATTTTTTGAAATTTTTTGAATTTCAGAATTTCAGAATTTTGAAATTTTCGGATTTTTGAGTTCTTGGATGTTGAATTTTTAGTTTTTAGAGCAATCTGAAAATTAAAAAAAATTTTTTTTTTGGAAAAATTTCAAATTTCAAGAAATTCGGAACTTTCCGGAACTTTTCTGAATATTAGAAACTCAATATATGAGAATTTCAGAATTTCAGATTCTCAGAATNNTAGAATNNTAGAATCTNAGAATTTCAGAATTTCAGAATCTCAGAAATATTCAGAATTTCAGAATCTCATAATCTGAGAAACTCAGAATCTCATAATCTCATAATCTCAGAATCTCTGAGTTTCAGAATTTCTGAATTTCTGAATATCAGAATCTCAGAATCTCAGAATACAGAATCTCAGAATTTCTGAATTTCTGAATTTCCGAATTTCTGAATTTCTGAATTTCTGAATTTCAGAATCTCAGAATCTCAGAGTCTCATAATCTCAGAACCTCAGAATCTCAGAGTCTCATAATCTCAGAATCTCAGAACCTCAGAATCTCAGAATCTCAGAATTTCAGAATTTCAGAATTTCAGAATCTCAGAATTTCAGAATCTCAGAGTCTCATAATCTCAGAATCTCAGAACCTCAGAATCTCAGAATCTCAGAATTTCAGAATCTCAGAATCTCAGAATTTCAGAATTTCGGAATTTCAGAAAACTTTTTTTTGGAAAATGAAATCTCGAAGAACGAGTGATTTTAAGCACATTCAACGCTCATTCATCTAGAAAATCCCTTTTAACTTTATACTCCCCCCACGACCTCCTACTGACCTCCTTTTTCTGGCTCACTTAATTTGGAAATCATAATAAAAAATCTAAAAATAACTTTTTAAATGAAAATTCAAAAAAAAAATTTATTTAGAGATAAAAATTCCAGAACCTTCTCTGAAAAGCAAAATAATGAGTAAATTCTTCTGATTTTTCTAGACATCTCCGAAAACTTTTGACTCACTCGTGTGGAAATTTTCCCTTCCCGGTACACATTGGAAAATCAGCAATCGAATTTTTTTTCATAAATTTTGAGACTTTCGAATTTTTGGATATTTTAAACAAATGAGGAAGATCTGCAGAAATTGATGATCAGAGATTAATTTGATTATTTTCGAAAAATCAGAAATTAAAAATTAAAAGTTGGTGGGTGGAGGTGATTGAAATTTTAAAAAAACACACATTTTCAGGCTTCGCGTCACTTCGAAACCGGACATTTCGAAACTATGTGACACTTCGAAACCAGTCAGTTCGCAACCAGTCATTTCGAAACTGCGACACTTCGAAATCAGTCAGTTCGGAACTATGTGACACTTCGAAACCAGTCAGTTCGCAACCAGTCATTTCGAAACTGCGACACTTCGAAATCAGTCAGTTCGGAACTATGTGACACTTCGAAACCAGTCAGTTCGCAACCAGTCATTTCGAAACTGCGACACTTCGAAGCCGGGCATTTCGAAACCAGTCAGTTTGAAACCAGTCAGTTCGAAACCGGACGTTTCGAAACTAAGTGGCACTTCAAAACAAGTCATTTCGAAACCAATCATTTCGAAGCTGCGACACTTCGAAACCAGTCATTTCGAAACCGCGTCACTTCGAAATCAGTCAGTTCGGAACTATGCGACACTTCGAAACCGGGCATTTCGGAAATATGCGACACTTCGAAATCAGTCAGTATGAAACCAGTCAGTTTGAAACCAGTCAGTTCGAAACCGCGACACTTCGAAACCAGTCATTTCGAAACTAAGTGGCACTTCGAAACCAGTCATTTCGAAACTATGTGACACTTCTAAACCGGGCATTTCGGAAATATGCGACACTTCGAAATCAGTCAGTGTGAAACCAGTCAGTTTGAAACCAGTCAGTTCGAAACCGCGACACTTCGAAACCAGTCATTTCGAAACTATGTGACATTTCGA